GCTTTTCCTCAATAGCAACATCCGATTAGCTGACCTGCCATGCGTCTCCAATTAATGGAAACTGAAGTTGGGAGAGAGAAGCAGAGCACCCATGAATTGGGTATCTAGATGAAAAGTATACCAGGCATCTCCTCCACCATTACTCATTCAGCTGCTCCCGTGGGAGGCCCCACTCCCCTAGGCACTGATACCCACTAGACCCTCCAAGAGACACGGCAACTGTGGGGGTCTTGGGTCAGCTACAGGCAGTTCTAAAACTCAAAACCTGGAAAAGATAGAAGGGTGTACTGAAGACATACCACCCTGTAAAGTTTCCAGAAAGGAACCTCATCCCAAAGATATCCTGATAAGGTGTCTGTGTCTCAGAAAGATAACAGGAGGAGAGGCAGAAAGGATTTTTCAGGAAAATGTCTAGTGGTGATTCTCTGCTTTCCTCTCATGTGAAATGTTCAGACATTGATTTTACTGTAAGCCCTTGAAGAGTTAGGCTGTGGTATGAGAGTGGAGGACCTGCATCGCATATATTTGGAAAATGTGAGGTGAAACCAGTCACCCTGGAAAGTGTGAAAAAATTTAAATAAGAAGCAATGAGACTGAACTGTGTGTAGTACCCTAGGGTCCTACCTAAGGGCCCTGAAATCAAATTTAAATACAATTCTTGGAAATTACTAATTTATAGGGAAATAAAATTTATGCTTAATCAGGCACAATTTACCAATTACCTTGTAACTACATACGTAGAAATTTTCTACCTATATAGGCTGTGTGAACAAGTAAATCAGGCGGGGTGCAGTGGTTCACACCCGTAATCCCAACACTTTGGGAAGCCAAGGTGGGCGGACCACTTGAGGACGGGAGTTTGAGACTAGCCTGGCCAACGTGGTAAAACCCCATCTTTACTAAAAATACAAAAATTAGCTGAGTGTGGTGGCACATGCATGTAATCGCAGTTACTTGGGAGGCTGAGGCAGGAGAATTACTTGAACCCAGGAGGTGGAGGCTGTAGTGAGTAAGCTATAGCGCCACTGCACTCCAGCCTGGCCGACAGAGTGAGGCCTTGTCTCAAAACAAACAAACAACAAAAACAACAAAGTAATTCCAAAATTTAGGCTGACAGATCTCTCAATTATCTTGAAGCAATGTGATCATGGGGTTCAGTCACATGACACACAACTTTCACATAGACAGCTGGAACTCTCCTTTCCCTGATTACAGATTCACCTTCTTTCTTACCTATAGTGTTTTGTAAAATGTTGTAAATGACTGAAGGGAAACAGGAAAGACCCTTTCCCTCTTCACTTTTTTTTTTAAATTTAATATGATTTTTCACAATTGAGATAGGGTCTCGCTATGTTGCCCAGGCTGCTCTTGAACTCCTGAGATCAAGCCATCCACTTGCCTTGGCCGCCCAAAGTGCTGGGGTTCTGGGTGTGAGCCATCCCGCCAGGCCCCTCTTCACTACTGATCTCTGTAGTAGACTAACTTCCCTCTTTACTTCCTCACACAAAGACTTCATGTCTATCACATTGTCTTCAGCTGGAATGTTAAATTCACTCTTTTAAATTGAAAAGGAAATAAAAACCAGCCAGAAAGAAAAGAATACAAGTTCTGGGGGGAAAAAAAGCAAACCCTAACGAATTAAGATGTTAGCCAGGTGCAGTGGCTGACATCTGTAATCCCAGCACACTCCTGGAGGCCAAGGAAGGAGAACTGTTTGAGGCCAGGAGCCAGAGACCAGCCTGGGCAACATAACGAGACCTAACCTCTGCAAAAAATAAAAAATTAGCCAGGTGTGGTGGTGGACAACTGTAGTCTCAGCTACTTGGGAGGCTGAGATGCTTGAGCCAGTGAGGTCAAGCCTCCAGTAAGCCATGATTGCACCATCGCTCCAGCCTGGGTCGCAGAGCAAGGCATTGTCTCCAGAAAAAACTGTTGTATCTCATATATCAGCCTTCTATGGAAAATGTAATCATGTTATATTTATTTGTCTTTTGCCTATGTAAGTGTTAGGGAAAAAGGTGCCTAGGGGAGCCAGAGTAACACCAATTCAAGTTCAGCTCCACCTTGAGACTAACAAGAAACACTCCTTGCCAGTCACAACCCATGATCATCAAATGTTTCCCATGAAGAAAACAGCCTGAAGATGCCTGCAAGTATCCTTACACTCCCACAACAACAGAACGTCCCCATGTCCCAATACCCGTAACAACATATGCTTTCAAGATTACTACAGTTGTTTTAATGCACTTGTATACTAAAATGTAAAGGATAGTTTTCTTTAACTCAACAGAGTAATAAATTGTGTGACGCTGTCAGCCCACATGCAGGTAGGCACAGGTAGTTTATTCTTTACATAGACAAGATCGCTACATAAGAAAAACTTAGGCCGGGCGCGGTGGCTCAAGCCTGTAATCCCAGCACTTTGGGAGGCCGAGACGGGCGGATCACGAGGTCAGGAGATCGAGACCATCCTGGCTGACACGGTGAAACCCCGTCTCTACTAAAAAATACAAAAAAACTAGCCGGGCGAGGTGGCGGACGCCTGTAGTCCCAGCTACTCGGGAGGCTGAGGCAGAAGAATGGCATGAACCCGGGAGGCGGAGCTTGCAGTGAGCCAAGATCACGCCACTGCACTCCAGCCTGGGCGGCAGAGCGAGACTCTGTCTCAAAAAAAAAAAAAAAGAAAAACTTAAAGACAGTACGTTCCTCCACTTGCTGTATGAGGATGCCTTACTCTGAAACAGAGAAACTTTTTCTTTCTTTTTCCTTTTCTCTCTTTTTTTTTTTTAAATAGAGACAGGGTCTTGCTGTGTTAGCCAGGTTGGTCTTGAACTCTTTTTTGTTTGTTTTGTTTTTGCTTTTTGAGATGGGGTGTCACTCTGTTACCCATACTGGAGTGCAGTGGCGCATCCTCGGCTGGGCTGCAACCTTTGCTTCCGGGGTTCAAGTGATTCTCTCACCTCAGCCTCCCGAGTACCTGGGCAGTACAGGTGCAAGTCACCACATCCAGTTAATTTTTGTTAGTTTTGGAAGAGATGGGGTTTATTGGGGCTATATTGCCCAGGCTGGTCTCGAACTCCTGAACTCAAGTGATCCTCCCACCTTGGCCTCCCAAAGTGCTTGGATTAGAGGCCTAAGCCATCATGCTGGCCCAGAGTAGCTTTCAATAAACTCTCTTCTCACTACACTGTGTGACTCGTCTTGAATTCCTTCCTGTGTAAGATTCGAGAACTCTCCTGGGGTCTGATCAGGACCTCATTTTCCGGTAATACAAGCAAGAACTTAACTTCCAATTTTGGAGTACTGAGTCCATTTCTCTGGAGTCTTTTTCCCAAATGGGCCATTGCTATCTTTTTGCTTGAATAAACTCTTCCAATTGAAATCTGAAGCTTTCGATTATTTTGGAGTGACAAGTCCAAATAAGGCAACTGCATCTCTGCAACCAATCAAGCATTTATCTGGTTTGTCTCCTCATGTAACTTATAACGGCCTACCCCTAAACTGGTAAACTAAAAATAAAAACATGCCTCTGGCCTGGCAAGATGGCTCACATCTTTAATCCCAGCACTTTGGGAGGCCAAGGTGGGTGGATCACTTGAGGTCAGGAGTTCGAGAACAGCCTGGCCAACACGGTGACACCCCATTTCTACTAAAAATACAAAAATTAGGAGGGTGTAGCGGTGCATGCCTGTAATACCAGCTACTCGGGAGGCTGAGGCAGCAGAATCGCTTGAATCCGGAAGGCGGAGGTTGCAGTGAGCCGAGATAGCGCCATTGCACTCCAGTCTGGGTGACAGGAGGCTCTGTCTCAAACCAAAACCAAAACAAAAACAAAGTACCTTCCCAGCTAAGTGAAGTGACCGGCTCTTGGCCAAAGGGACCCCCGAAAAACCCTGAAAATTGAGTTCTTCTGTATGACAAGATGGGAAGTGAGACGGTCTCCTTATACCCTCTCCCTTTAGGAGTTTAGAAATGCAGCAGCTTAATGCACATTCATGTAACAATAGGTATCATCAGAATGGAAAAACGAACTCCATGGGGCAATAAGATACCACATTACAAACAAGATCTAAGGCCACGTAAGGCAAAGGTAAAGTCACGCCTTAGAATTCATAAAATCTAGAGAAACAGGTCTGTTTTTTGGCTGGGATAGAATCAAGTGGCAGATAACAGATCCTCTTCCTTCAGCATTCCTTCCTACCTCCTCCAAACTTTAGACAAAGCTTCACACTCTCCACCAGCTGCCACCTACAGAATCCCTCAACCACCTATGCCTTCTAACCCCCCTTCCACAGGTCTCACCCTTTCTACCAAAGGAATTTACATCTTTCAGGCACTGATTCATTATTTTCCCTACAATTCCTGTCTCTCTGAAATGAATAAAATCAAACTGTCTTGAGCCGCCTCGGGACCACTTACTCCAGGCTTCTCGGGGTTGTGTTTCCCTCGGCCAAGGTCTCTCCTATCCGGCTCCAAATAAACTTCTTTATTTTACATAGTCTGGCTTTTTCCGCTGACAAACCACAAGCCAGGACTGGGTGTTTCTCATTCGTGAATCGCTGTTTGCTCAAATGAACTCTTTCATTGTTAACGTACCTCAGTTTAATTTTTAACAGGAGAAAGTGGGGGCTGGGGCCCCACAGACCGCTGCTCCTCCCACGCACGAACCCTACACCCGAGTCAGGATTCCACCCATAACCCTCACGTTGCTTCCGCTCAATCTGGGGAGACGTCGGGCTGCGAGCGCGGAACTGCCCAGAGAAGGCTCCGGGGCCGTGGTCGCAGTCGCCGCGCAGGGACGGGACAGGACGCCCGGGGTCCCAGCTGCCGGCCCAGCCCCGTCCAGCGGCCGAGGGGACCGAGGGCCAAACTGCTCAAGGAGGACTCGGTCCCAGACCCCGGAGTCGCCCACAGGGAGGCCCGGGTCCCGCCACAGCCTGTTCCCGCCTGTTCCAGGCAGCCCCTCCCCCGTCTCACGACACCCGGCCCCGCACACACACCATTTCCTGGCTTTCAGATGTCCCGGGGTCCTCTCGACAGCTCCTGTGACTACAGCAGGGAATAGCACAGGTGACTGAGCGACAGAAACCTGGGTACAGGCACCAGGTCCCTCTCCGGCTGGACAGACCGGACGGATCCCAACCGCCGCCCGCGCAGCGACAAAGGTGTGGGGAGGAACACAACCCCCTACATTTCCGGAAGAACTGTGCACAGGGCCACGCCCCCGCGCCTCTGATTGGATGAAATGCTAGGCCCCGCCCCCATATCCGAGTGACAGCTGAAGCCCTGGGTCTCAGACACCCCAGAGCCAGACTGAGGGATTCTCTAAGGCTTCTCTAAGGGCCAGCTGCTTTCTGCACTCTGGTTATTGGATATTTGCATTTCAGCCAAACTTGGTATTGATAGAAGAGAATACTAGCGTCATCTTCACTCAAGGGGCTGTCCCTGCTCCTTCGTTCTGCATGGGGTCACAGGAGTGTGCAGGGAATTTCAGATTCAGTGTTCACGGGAGCCGTCTACTGGCCTTAGAGCAGCAGTGGAACCGAGACCAGGCGGGGCACGACTGCACCAGGAGGCGAGGCATACGTCCGCGAGCGGGCCGGAATTGGGAATGAGGCGTGGCCAAGCCTTGGTCCCACACCCCATCCCCTCCTCACAGTGTGAAAATGTTTCCTCCTTCCAGATCTTCATTTTCACCAGCAGGAAACTGTCACCAGGTTTTAAGTTTCTGACCTGAGTAAACTGTCAACTTCATGAACGCTTTATCCAGGTGACGCCACCAAACAATTCTGCCTCTAGCTCTAGCCTGATCTTCACACTTTTTTTTTTTTTTTTTTTGAGACGGAGGCTGTCTTGCTCTGTAGCTCAGGCCAGAGTGCAGTGGCGCGATCTCAACTCATTGCAAGCTCCGCCTCCCCAGTTCACGCCATTCTCTTGCCTCAGCCTCCCGAGTAGCTGGGACTAAAGGCGCCCGCCACCACACCTGGCTAATATTTTGTATTTTTAGTAGAGACGGGGTTTTACGCCAGGATGGTCTCGATCTCCTGACCTCGTGATCCGCCCACCTCGGTCTCCCAAAGTGCTGGGATTACAGGCGTCAGTCACCGCGCCCGGCCACACTTTTTAAAAAAATCTATACAAATAACTCTGACCCCAGCAACCCCATGCATGTCAAACATCAAATCTGCCCAGAAAACAGCTCCAGGCTCCAGCTGCACAACACCACAAAGGACAGACGCCACAAATGCTTCTGCACCTGGGTCTTCTGCTTTCCAGGGCTCTGCAGCTTCTCGGGATCCCCACTCCTTCTGGAGCTGCTCTGAGCAGCTGGAGGCCACCTGTAGAAGGGGGTGGGCTGCCCGGGAAGCCACCAGGGAAGCTCTCTTTCTCTCCCTTTGCAGACTCCAGACTGTCCTCAACGTGGAGTCACTGGCCTCTGGTTCCTTCTGCAGGTTATTCAGCTACTTTTCACCCCATCGGCTCCAGACTGTCCTCAACGTGGAGCCTTTGCAGGCTCCAGACTGTCCTCAACGTGGAGTCACTGGCCTCCGGCTCTGCTTCCTTCTGCAGGTTATTCAGCTACTTCTCACCCCATCGGTTAGTTCTGCGAGACAAACACCCTCAATCCCATTGTGTGAATAAGACACCAGCAGAGTCCCTGCTCTCCTTCTATGCTTATGTATAAAGTGGGGGAGGAAAAATCTAAGACAACTTCAGTGCATTTGAAAGATTTCCAGGTCGCGGTGGAGGTGGCAGCTGAGGGACCCGCAGTCAATGATACTGCAGCACCTTCAGGCCAGGCTGATGGGAGAGAGGGTGGAGAGCTGCAGCTGGATGTGGATAGGTGAAGGGAGCAGCCCTGGGAACTGGGCTCTGCTGCAGCGCGGCTCTAGGGCCTGGAGCCCGGGAGAGCAGAGATGGGGACTTCCAGGACAGGAAACTCGGGGAGGAGAAAGTCGGGTGGCTTCCATGGTACGGGGGTGCTGTGGCAGGTGGTGTAGGCCTGTGGCTATCATAACTAAGCCCAAATGGGACTTGAAAACTTGGATTCTGTGGGAATTTATGAAGAAGAAGGCTCTGATGACAAAGAAGTCATCAGTGAGGAGAGGGATGAGGGTCACTGGCAAGCTCACTTCCTTATGGAAAGAAAAGTGAATGCTCAACTACTGCTGCAAAATGGGGTCATAGGATGAAACTTTCGCTGTCAGGGAATAGACTGCTGCAGAACTCAGAGATTGCAAAAACCTTCAAACAACAGCCTGGGAGAGCGGGTGCCATGGCTCCTGCCTGTAATCTCAACATTTTAGGAGGCAGGATCACTTGAAGCCCGAAGTTGAAGACCAGTGAAGTGAGACACTCGGATCTACATAAATTTATTTTTTAATTAGCCAGGAGAAGTGGTGTGTACCTATAGTCTCAGCTACTCGGGAGGCTGAGGCAGGAGGATCACTCGAGCCCCAAAGTTTGGGGCTTCTGTGAGCTATGATCAGGCTACTGCACTTCAGCAAGACACTGTCTCAAAAAAAAAATAAAAATCAAAACCAAACAAACAAAAAATCATAAAAAGCCCACCAAACTCCCTGGGGAAACCCTGACCCCCTTGGATGGTCTAATTGTAAAACAGCAGGTGGTGATATTTCCTTATGGACTAGATCATTCTAGCCACGTAAGAGGCTTGGACTACTGAGGATTTACCAGGTGGGATGACCTCCTTGCAATCAATGGAAAAGGCCCTGGTGAAACCATCCCTTTAAACTTTTATCAAATTCATCAGGGAGGAAGGGAGGAGAAAAATTTAAACCAAGCTTGTAGCACCTACAGCATTAAGCATTAGGTCAGCTTGTTCTCTGACCTTCCTCATATTTGTTTCATACCTAGTGTCCTAGAATCCCATTGTTGAGCTAAACTGAGGAACAGAAAGACCAATATGGAGTACAGGAGGATTTGTTTATATTTTAGGTACGCACCGGCCCAGACGATTCCTATCCAAAAAGCTGAGAATTGAACGAAGACAAAGCGGGGTTTTTATAAGCTGCCTTACAGATGCAAAACAAAAGTAGTTAATCATACAGTGACAGGCCATGTAGTCTATAGCATAATTTAAGGCCTTGCATAGCCAGTGTCCTTATACCTGCATTGAAAGAAAAACAAGCATTGGCTAAATACAGACATTTGTAAAACATAATAATGCTTAAGAAGCCTTGGAAAAGAGTAACAGTGAAAGTATCTGTCTTTCTTTCTCTTTTTTTTTCCTTCAACCTTGCTCTGAACGGGAGGGGTGTCTGGAGCCCATTCCTTTGGCCTTGGCTATTTGGACAGTGTTATCTTCTGTCCTTGAAGTAAGCTGCTAGGCAGAGGAAAACTTGTGCTTTTCAACCCTTGCCTTGCCACACTCTGGGCCTTAGCTTTTACTTTTTTTGGAGTAACTAAATTCAGTACTTATTATTATTTTTAAATTTCTGCCTCACGATAGACCCTAAATGATAGTTCCTGTTAACTGCTCTATAGATAACAACTTGAACGTTAGATGTTTTCCCTTTGAAATATTTCTATTTCAGGGTTGGGTGCATTTGTTCATGACTGTAATATCAGCACTTTGGGAGGCTGAGGTAGGGGGATCACTTGAGCCTGGGAGTTCAAGAACAGCCTGGGCAATATAGTGAAACTCCATCTGTACAAAAAATTTAAAAACAGCCAGGCATGGTGGCATGTGCCTTTATTCCAGCTACCTGGGAGGCTGAGGCAGGAGAATCCCTTGGGACTAGGAGTTTCTGCAGTGAGCTATGATCCCACCATTGCACTCCAGCCTGGGAAACAGAGTCATACTATGTCTCTTAAAGAAAAAAAAAGGAAAAAAGAAATCCAGACATTTGTTAGTCTTTGGATTATCGGAGAGCATTTATCTGACACTTAGTCCAATGTTAGAGACCAATATATAGATTTATAGAAAGGGGCACTTTGGGTTTGGGACACAGCTCTGCAGGAAGCTTTGGACACACTGACATGTTAGTATGGCAGGCACAAGCCTCAGGCACACCTTTAGAGGGTAGAGCTGTAAGTTGGGATGTTACAGCTGCTGCTGAGGGTAAAAATCGGGCCTTATGGCAACCACAGTGTGGCAAATCAGTCCCTTCAGGATTTTGGTTGTAATGATGACAAGGAGATGAAACCAGACACTCTTGAATTGAACAAGTTCTGGTAGTAAATAATGCTTTCCAGCAGGTGGAATCCTTAAGAAAGAACCTTTCTGTGACTGTGAGAATGGGACTACCATGCCTGGCGAATTTTTTGTATTTTTGGTAAAGACGCGGTTTCACCATCTTGTCCAGGCTGGTCTGGAACTCCTGAGTTCAGGTGATCCACCCCCTCAGCCTCCCAAAGTGCTGGGATTACAGGTGTGAGCCACCGTGCCCAGCTTCCCACTAAGTCTCTTTCATTTGGCCTGGCACAGTTTCCCATTCCTTAATCCCAGCACGTTGAGTGAATGAGGTGGGTAGATTGCTTGAGCCTGAAAGTTTGGCCTATGACCACCTTGGGCAATATAGTGAGACCTAGTCTGTATTTTAATAAAGAGAAATATATATATATACACACACACACACACATTTATATACATAAAACATGGTGAGCGTGGTGGCTCACGCCTGTAATCCAAGAACTTTGGGAGGTCAGTGAGTGGATCACCTGCTGTCAAGAGTTCAAGACCAGCCTGGCCAACATGGTGAAACCTTGTCTCTAACTAACAATACAAAAATTATCCAGACATGGTGGCGCACACCTGTAATCCTGATTATTCTGGAAGCTGAGGCAGTAGAATCGCTTGAACCCAGGAGGCAGAAGTTGCAGTGAGCCGAGATCACATCATTGTGCTCCAGCCTGGGCAACAGAGCACAAACTCCATCTCAGGAAGGAAAAAAAAAAAAAGTGAAAGTTCCCTTTTTGTCCCTAGTTATTATGGGCTATCACTACTATCACCAGTAGTTGCCTATGAAGCACACCTATTCTCACAATGGGTCCAAGAGGAAAAGTAGATTTGGAGACTGTGGGGAAAAGAAAGAAAGATCAGCCTGTTACTGTGTCTGTATAGAAAGAAGTAGACATAAGAGACTCCATTTTGTTCTGTATTTGAGAT